ATATTTCAAGTCATCTAAATATAAAACAGTCAGTATATGTTCATATCAACAAAATTATAATGACCCATTACCAGTATAACAGTGGCAGTTATTATATACATATCATTCGGTAAGCATGCTGAAACATCACTTTTATCAGGAGAAAGCATTTTACCATATGTCAACACCAAACTTATACCCAAATGATAAAAGTAGTGGCTGCGCTAAAACACAAACCGAGACACCTTTTTACGCAATGACAATTTAAAGGCAAGGAAATGCCTTCTTCAATATTTCAAGTCATCTGAATGTTAAACAGTCAGTATCTGTCCATATCAACAAAAGTATAATGACCCATTACCAGTATAACAGTGGCAGTTATTATATACATATCATTTTGTACCCATGCTGAAACATATCACTTTTATCAGGAGAAAGCATTTTACCATATGTTAACACCAAAACTTATATCCAAATGATAAAAGTAGTGGCCGCACTAAAACACAAAACCGAGACACTTTTTTACGCGATGAGAAATTAGGGCAAAAAAGGAATGCCTTCTTCAATATTTCTTTTTAAGTCATCTGAATGTAAAACAGTCAATATCTGTCCATATCAACAAAAGTATAATGACCCATTTACCAGTATAACAGTGGCAGTTATTATATACATAACTTGTCATTTTGTAAGCATTTTGAAACATATAACTGTTACTTTGATAAAGTATTTTATCATGTTAACACCAAAATTATACCCAAATGATAAAAAGTAGTGGCCACATAAAAACATAACCGCAGACACTTTTTTACACAACAAATTAAGGCAAAGAAGGAAATGAATTTTTCAAGCGATCAGAATTTCAAGTCCATATCAATTATAATGATAAAGATTTGTCATGTTGTCTCTTGAAACACCATATGTTAACACTAATTTGATATCCACATTAATAATAAGGACCACTTAAAATACAACCCAGACATTTCTTATTTACATAGAAGCATAGAAATGAATTTTTCGTTCCTATTACTTTTCAAGTGATCTCAAGGTTAAACAGACAGTACTTATGAATACAACAAAATAATAAGCAATCCACAATAATGTGTAACAGTAACTGTTAGATGCGAAAATATTTTTTCAACAGAAATAAATCTGAACTAACATCACTAAGCTTTGCTATGAATTTTTTTAGTCTTGTTACATGCATTAAAGTGACATATGCCCAAGAACAAAATAGATAATTCATAATATAATCCATATATTAAATAAACTTACTAGTGTACGAAATACAGCATAATTTAAATTAAAACCTGTATTTTTTAAACACTTAATCTGAACGCCCATTATATTTTTATTTATGCTTTAATACTTTCAGTTTGGGCTCCTTTGTAATGTTTTTCTGGTTCAGTGTATCATTCTTTAAATTATTTAAAATTTTGTTTGTTGATGACCAAAGGATCTGCTTTAACACTTTCTGTGGCTCCATGAGCTTTAGGGCAAGCATCTAGATTTAAAAAAAAATGTCATTTTCTATCAGTATGTCTAGAGTTAAGTTACATGCTATATCCCTTTGATTTGCAGAAAATAAAAATTTCATTCTCAAATTCTTCAGATACAAGTTTTTCAATAACAAAATAATTATATATTACTGAATTTAGTACATCAGGATGAGGATATAGAAGTCCTCTATCAAATCTTTTTATCCAAGACTGTCCTTCATTTTCTACAATTAATTCTTTATCAATAGTTAGATTGCCTTTACAAATATCACAGCTTAATAGTTTCACAACTTTATAACTACAGTAACCAGCTATATACATTAAAATTGGTATGTCATTTTGAACATTTTGTATATCTTCATTTGTAATAGTTATATGTGCCACATCCTTGAAAGGTGATAATAAGCTACGTATCATAAAAACATAAGCACTTGTAGCAGCTTTTTCACAGTTGTAGGCCATGCCACACAAATTTCCTCCTTTAAAATCGAAACATGAATTTAAATGCACTTCATCCATCATAATAATTACAGTTTTGTCATTTTCTTCTAAATCCTTGCATCTTTGTTTAACATATCCTAAAAAGTCATCATTAAATTGCTCAGTAATAGGATTAAGAGAAAACATTGAACAAATTCTACGAATAGTACGTGGATGGGGAATAGAAATGTAACCTGAATGTCGTAAAAACTTGTATGCATGCGGTGAGATCGAGTTTAACAAACTGCAAAAAATAAGTAAATCTGGAGTATATCGATACTTCTCTTTCTTTACATTTAGTTTATTTACTTGCTCTGAAAGGAAGTTCAGTTCAGTTTCTTTTTCAGGTAACACTCTTTTCAATTCTGAAAGCATATCATCCACAATTTGTATAGAATTCTTAATATATTCTTCATTTTGTAAGTTATGAGAAAGACTTTCAACTTCCTTTAGTACTTCTAGAAACACATTTACATTACTAATTTTTAGAGGGAAAACAAATTTACTAATAGATTTTATAGTGATGTTTTTAATATAAACACATACTGTTAAATCCTCATTTATTACTACCGATTTCTGAATTTCTGGAGCTGGGTCACTTAAAATATCAAGTAACATAGTTGAATTTTCAGTATGTACAGTTGTCCAAAATGTTTCTAAAATCTGATGTTCTAGGCAATTATTGAATTCAATTAAACTTTCAAATGATCGTTCATTATCATACCGTTCTTTCATTTTCAAACTTTCTTCTATCGCTTTCTCCAGGTATTTCTCTTCTAAACGAGCTTTCTTCTTTTCTGGTGACATTCTCGATACAGAATTTGATGACATGTAGGATGGGCCATCAGGGAACTGAGAAGGTATGCATCCTTTTTTCAAAACGTGGCCTAGAAATTGGGGCTTTAATTAACTTCGCTGATTTCTCATCATACATTTCGATTTCTCGTATTATTTCATCTGATCGAAAATGTAATTCACATACCTATAAAAGAAAATATTCAAAAATCAACTTGTTGTGAGTACAAAAGTTAGATGCATGTTAATATTTAGTAACAGAAGTCAATAAGCCCTATGATTTAAATAAATAATTTGATACATAAATACAATTAAAAAACCAGTAATATCATTTCAATTACGTGTATAATTTAAGTAATTTGTAAAATCTGGAATGCTCATCATAATGATTACAGCTTTATTTACATTTAAAGAAAATTATATATTTGAGATAATTGTTTACAACAAACACTGGTTACCAAATACAAATAATTACCTTGAATACATCATACCAAACTTTCATATATCATTACAAAAATTTTAAAATGAAACCTATTATGATTACTTAGTAGTTCCTTGTCATATAAATTATGATAAATTTGGAATAACTACAGAATCTGCCTGCACAGTATACTAGAAAGCATTTACAAATTATTGGCATTTATGTAACTACTAAATTTAGAATTATTCCTGTTATATGGAACTTTATTTCATTCATAAAACTTTGAAGGAAAATATTTTTTGAAATGATTAAAACAGGCAAGATTAAAATCTTTCAAACATAAAACTTCTTACCCACAGATCAAAATCTAATATCGTAAGCATAAACATCACATACCTATCAATAAAAGTAATAAAAAAATGTAAAGATACAAAACATAAAAAATGCAGTAAAATTGAACTTACTCTGGTATGTTTAGTAGGTTGAAAGCCATCTTTTCTTCGTAGACTCCTTATCCATTTCATCCGGGGTTCAGTCTCATTTGGAAACTTGAATACAGCCACTTTTGGTCCGTTTTATAATTACCACGACATGTGACTACAGCACATTTATGAGGCATCGTATGAAATTATAAAAGCACGAGACAATATATAAAAAAAGCATGAGACAATATAAAAACTCTGTCGCTAACGCAAATAACCGCTCCACGTTCGTTGCTCTTGGCTCAACTACGGGGCTTTGATTTTGTTTGAAGGAGCGAGGTGAGTCAGAGACGACTACCTGTGATGTCAGAGCTTCCCCTCGCTTCAGTGTCCCGGCTTCCTTCTATAAGGAGGTGTTGGCTAGGCAAGCCACTTGCTTGGCCGTAAATCAGATGCATATTCTCATGTTCCTCGTTTGTGTAATCTCACATGTTGTTTTCAAATTAAGTTTACTGCCCCCGGATTCTGCAATGCTCAAATAATAAATACTTGCTTGTTGTTTTTATTTTCTCCATATGCACTGAAAATTTGTGCATGAAAAAGTTTCTTCTTCTCGGCCACTGTTTTAATTTTCCCATGTGCACTGGAAATTTTCATTCAAGAAGTTTTCTTCTTCTCGACCGCAGTGCTCCTAATCCTTGAATTTGCTTGACCAATTTCTTCCTCATACTCACTGTCCTCTCGATATCTGTTTTTGAGATTTTCACCCAACTAAACGTAGTCTGAGACCCCATGATCTATGGTGATTTTTTATCCTCTTGATGCTTACTAATAACCCTCTGAATTTGTTGTCGTATTCAGCACCACTCTGTATACATATATATGTGTATATATATTATATATATATATTACCACCTGACCTCATAAGGTCAACCAATCAATGAAGTATATATATTTCTGGAATAAAAACTTCTTGAAGCCCTGTTCTGAAATTAATGATCTTAGCAATTACTTGATTGACAGAGAGATAGTCTCGATCATGCAACTGTTAACATTTTTATTATTATGCAATTACATTTAATCATACAGCCATGAAGAAGAAAATGATTCCTCTTAATTTCATCAAGATTCCAAGCAGTGAAATGACCTCCACCAATGTGCATATAAAATGTTTATCAATATATTTTTCATAACTTAAGATTATACTGAAATATTTTAATATAACTACCAGTTTTCAACAAATCTTATACAGAAACTGCAGCTGGGGGGGATCACTCAGTAAGTTACTGTCAAGAATTTAAATTAATAGAAACACATGACATTAAAAATCTCAACTTTTTCTTATGAACTTTTGTTCTTAAAATGTCATCATGAATTGGAAAATAAAACATTAAAAAAAACACAGACCTAAATGATAATCATTGCACCTATATTCTTGATATGCACGCAGAGTGAGAATGTCACTAAGTATTACACTGTAATCTTCTCCATGAGCTTCAAGAACTCTAAGTTGAGGGCGGGATCCAATGCTTACAACTTCCTTTAAGAAAGGAAAAATGAATACATAATATTTACTGGCTTACTTATAAATGCTAATAAAAATTATAGAATATGCATACACTCTGATTTGCACTGGCTCGTTGGTTATCCATTATCTGATAACACACTACAAAATATACCACCTGTGACTCTGTTTCTTGTGAGTATTTATTCAGAAAGGTGAGATTTTTATTCTTTTCTTGCTAAGGTTCTCTCTTTCTTTTTGGGGGGTAAAGAGAGGGTAAAGATGGTTTCTTTTTATTTCAAAGTCAACTTTGACCAGGGCTTATATTCTGCCGGAGCCCATCAGATCTAGGCTATGGTATTTCTTAGTCTTTGTATAAAATTGTAATTCCAGCCGCAACCCTAAATAAAATAAGCTCTGATATTTACATTTATTATAAATTGTTCAGTCATTAACTTAATATATTAATTTTGTATTTTGTAATAGCCTCTTAATTTTATTATTCACTACTTAATTTTGTTTACCTTTCCTGGCAACCTTTTATAGGGCCCCAGCACTTTTAATTTAAAAATTAAGCCCTGATTTTGACAAAAGACACGAACATCCACATGAAGACGGCAGGAAGGGGGGGGGAAGAGAAAATTTTCAGATTTTACATTGTGCCAAAAGGGACTTTTTTTAACCTGGTGTGTGTTACTCTTATTTATTAAATGTTCTTTGCACTTAAACCATAAAATTCAATTCAACAGCAATATCACAAATAATTTTTAAATGAGCATATCTTTAGAATTTTCAATACACAGTCTCGCGAGCTGAAGATAAAAATGTCGCCCCCTCCGTGCAGTTTTGTCATTGCTTGTTATGAAATCATTGAGTTTGTTAATCAAAAATTCGTTGAAGTGTTACAAAATATGAAATTGATAATAAGACAAATTTCAAATTAGGGCTTCCAGACGCCCATATTTGGTGGAAGATTACGTTATTCAAAATTTGATGGCTCTAGCTACCACTGTTTTATCACAATGCGAGAAACATACATACATTTATGCAGATTCTTCATTTAACTTCTTTAAATATAACAAAGGATGATAATATTTGGTGACAACAATTTTAAAAGTTCTGACATTTAAAGTTTTCAATGCAAAATGCCAAAATGAAATTAATAGCCCTTCTGGGGCTTAAAAAAAAAAAAAAAAAAAAAAAAAAAAATCTGCTACATGGAACACCTTGTTATCATTTGTCTTCTTACTTATTAAAGTTGATATGAAAGCAGAAACAAGCTACACTAAACAAGTTTTTTTTTCTTCTTAAAGGTACTGCAAGTTATGCTAATATATTTAAGATAATAATTACATAGTTGAATTTTAAAAATAATCAAGCATAACAATGTTTAAGAAGCTTTTTACTTGAAACAAGGAAACTTGATTTCATAAAAAACTTGAGTGATATCTTTGATATGCACTTTCTCCACTGAGTCGTTTAGGTTTACTGTGTGATACTAGTTATAAATAACTACAACACTTTATCGGTTTAATAAATGCCATATGATATAAATGTTAATACTACACTTCCTGACTAAAGTGAATAAATCCATTACTAGAAAAGACATGGCAAGCAAACTGAAAGGTCAATATTTAAAATAAATAAATAAATAAAAATAGGCACAATAATTGGAAATTTGCAACAGTCATTTAACTTTAAAAATTTTATTGAACTCTCCCCCCCCCAAATCAAATATGGAAGCATCAAGATGGTACTATATCATGACCTTTAAAATGAAAGGCAGGAGGACAGCCATGTACCATATTGAGCACAATGGAAAGCAGAAATGAATTTATAATGCATTACACAGTTAGATGGCTGCAGGAAAAGAGGGATTATAATTTGATCATTACTAAAAATTGGAAGATTTATAGCAATAAAAAAATTAATTTATTAACTTAAGTTTTTTTATATATATTTAGCAGGGAAAAAATTGAATGCACAATCAAAAGTCAAATATACTCCGTTATGCACAATATCCGAGTTCATCTAAATACAAGTTTCATGTTTCTTAATGTGAAATTTCAAAGCTAGCCTAGCTTGATCAACCTAAAATAAGCCTTACTGGAAAGAAATGTTATAAATATTTCATGAATTCATATTTGGGATATAGCTTTTAGATTGCAAAATATTATACAAACTAATATGTGAATGAATTTCATTTATATTTAATTTAACAATTTCTATAATAACAATTTCTAGCTTAAATCATGCAAAACTCAATAACCTGATTTTTCTCGAATTTTTCTTTCTTAAAAGCAATAAAAAGAACATGCTCCAAAAAATTCATCTTCGGTATGAAACTTCATTAGTTACGTACTCAACAAATGTTACTGATTTTGTAATTTCTATATTTCCTTCATGCCGCCTAAATGTACAGTGGTTACAGAAGCTGGTTGCGATATGAAAGGGATTGCGAATCCCGGACAAGGCATGGTTGTAACTGCCGTCCCTTCATAGGAGGCAAAGGTGGCCCACCTATTAGGTGCCTCCATAATAAAGTGATCACCACTTCTGGCCTTAGTAGTGCCCAAGCCGAAGTCGGCTGAGGGCCCACCATTGGATGGAAAATATATATATTTTCATCATATCTGAAAATGAATCAATTTAAAATAATTTATAGTGTTCAATAATATTTATTATAGGAATAAAAATCCATTTTATACTTTATAATATATTTGGAACAAATGAAGATGAGAAAAGATGATCAAAATTTTAGTGTCCCAAACAACTTTTCGAGAAGACAATTTTATGTTCTACAGAGATAATATAGCTATGATATTCACCCCCCCCCAAAAAAGCAGCATACAGCAAATAAATAAATGAAAATTATTATTAATGATGTTCCACTAGAAAATATTTAAGACCACATTTTTAATACAAAAATCAAGTATGTAAACTCTAACAAAATATACTCAAATTTCATAATGCCCATTGTTTACTTCAGAACAAAAGGCAATGACCATTTCTCAAGAGATTTCCAAACTAATTTATAGAATCTGAAACATTTTTTCCCCCTCTATTCTTTCCTTTTTTTTTATACAGATGTTTTATTTCTTCCAAACATTTTAATTAGAAGCAGCATCTTTACTATTTTGGCAGTAATTACCATGCAAAAGTTTCACACAATGTATTAAAAATAAAGAAACTTAAACTGTGTAAAAAACTGTGATCCAACCACCAACTTTTTATCGCTTATTGGAAGCATAACATAGTTCTCATTTTAGGGAAGAAAGGAAAACTATTAGGATTTCATCTACCATGTAAACATGGGAATTCTCTCTTTGTTATAAGTGGAAATATGATACATAACTTAAAATAATTACTAAACAACAAAACTAAAAACTTATACTACAGGTAACATAGCACTTTGAATTACAAAACAAATTTAATACAGAATATTATGAGAGTAATCCAGAAAATAAAGATTTTTATTATACACAATAAAAAACAATTCTACAACATATCTTAAACTTCCTTCTCTTCTCTACATAATCACCACCTTCATTTAAACATTTGTCATATGTGTTCATGAGCTTTAGAATTCTCATGTTACACTCCTCTGCCAGTAGTTCATTAAGTTAAGTAGTCGCTCCATTCAAAGCTCAGCATTGATATTCTTGACATATCACACAGATAAAGATGTTTTTCTTGATTAGATGTGAATGGTGATGAGACCTGGGTGCGTCACATTACCGCAGAGAGCAAGCACTGGACCACTTGACCGGCATCATTACTCCCCCCCCCCCAAAATGAGAAAATTCAAACAGACTTTCTTAATACAAAAAGTCCCAGCAACTGTCTTGTTAATATGCTGTTTTGGTGTTTGTAAATGCATTCTTTTTCATAACACAGATCGTAAATGTGTTCGTTTGGTGCATTTCAGCAATAAATTTCATGCAAATCGTTAGTGAGAGACTCTAAGATAATTATAGCGAGCCGTTCAAAACAGAAGGCAAGGAATGCTTTCAGGAGGAAATGTGATTCTTCATGACAATGCCCACTATCACACTGCTGTTGCACCTCAAGAATTGCTGGATAAATTTGGATGGAAAATTTTTGGTCATCTACCAGGATATTGCACCTAGCAATTTCCACATTTTCCTTCGCCTGAAAAAGTTTCTGGGCTATAAATGTTTTGGAAGCAATGAAGAGTTGGAAAATGCAGTGGTTTAAGGAAATCAGGAACTGGTAGCAGATAAGTATAACATAGAAATTCTGAAGCTCATAACCAGATACGATCAATGCTTAAATGTAAGAGGTGATTACATAGAAAAGAGAAGGAAACTTAAGTATGCTCCAGGCTTGTTTTCTCCAATAAATATTGTGTTTTTCATTTTGTATAACTAAACGATCTTTATTTTCTGAATGACCCTCATATTTTTGGAAAACTAAAATATATCAACTTTACAAGGCCACATAAAGTTATTTCATATGGCAAAATACTTCATAGTTACATGCTTTAAAAGAGAAGTCCTCATCTAATACCAGCTCAACATTCAGAGAAAACTATAGAAATACAGCAATAAGCCCATTCAATCAACACGGAGGGAAATCAAGGTGAATATAAAATTTCAGTTATTTTAACCATTTGGTCACTGGTAGGTTTAAGAAAAGAATATTACAGCAGCTTACCAACAACATCTTCAAATTTATGAATAAAATTAAGTTCTGTAAAAGGTACCTTAACACGACACTTTGATCTGATGAGAAATTTTTGAAATTCCATTTTTATTAAACTAAACAAATCTTTACATGTGTATTTCCTTAAAGAAGTGTTATCTCCCATTTACTATAATTTTGAACAGATTTCCCAATAAGTAAGGTAAATCAACTTTTTTGAAGTTAAGACTGAAAACACCATAAATCTGTATAGCAATTATTAAAAAAAAAGGTGGGGTGTCATATAGGTTTAAAGGAAAGAAGTTTACCACAGTTTATGATTCTAAGCATCCTACTAATTTGTACCGATATATAGTGAAATTATGAAATGAGAAAATAGAGAATTTTCTAAACTGCTTTTATTTGAAACAAATGCGCAAAGAATTTAATACATAAGCAACATTAAAAATTACATCTTCCATGAGATTATGGCAATATAATCTTCATTGCAGATATTTGTATAATGAGAAAAAATTTACTGCAAAAGAATTATATTGCTTGCAAGGAATAATTCGTTTGCTAATGAATGGCAATGTTATATAATAAAATACAAGTACTAACTTTCTATAATATTTCATTTCTATTACTAAAAAGAAGCAATTCAAAATGAAAATAAAAGATGGTTAGAACAAAGAAACATATAAAGAAGGAAAAAAAAATTATTAAATACTAAAATTTAAAATTGGAAGGATGGTATTTCAATGATATTCTACAAATTTTGCTTTGAATTCGAATTTAAAAAATTAAAATTGAAACACCTATAATTTTAAAATTCCATTTGAAACACTTAAATTAATAAGTAAACTGAAAATGCACATTTTTTAATATATGGAAAAAAACACATAATGTATACAAAAAGCTTTTAAATAAAGCAAAATATTTCAATCAAATTTAATTTCTTTGCACTGCAAACTAACCTTTTTATGAAACAAGCAGCAATATAAAATAGGATACACTATTTGATCTTTCAAGTAATATTGATTCTTGCAAGTAACACTCATTTGGTAACAGCAAGATATCTTGACAAAAGAGTGTTTTTGAGCTGTGACTTTTCATAGTTTTAAAAAGGCTTTTGACTTCACATGAAACTGTTTCAATTACTTCTCTGAATTAAGCAACTTGCTGTTCTACAGTTCTTAACTGACTGATGAATTTCAGAGTAAAAAATTTCTCTTTACAATGGGCCATGATCAGACACTCTGTCATATGTCTAATGACTAAAAAGTCACTCTTCTGGTACATCATCGACTTTTTATGTTATAAAATTTACAAAATGAATGGAATACAATTTTAAGAAATCCCCATTATGAAAAACAATTTGAATCCATTACTCTGCACCAATTTGCTGTATGACATTTTTTCATATAATACTACTATAACCAAAGTCGAAAAAGGAAAAACATTTGGGGGGGGACACATATGCTTATTTTCTACCTCAGACAATATGTAATTACATCTTTAAAAACTCACTTAACCCATGTGCTTGTCAAAAGTGTTTGAAATGGACAAAGCACTAAACATTGAGACTTGTGGTTTACTGTCATAAGTAACATTTGTGACTTGTTTCATCGTTTCATCAAGGCAATGTCACAGATTAAGTTGCCACTTAACACTAGATTTACGAGATCTGTCCTTATGACAGATTTCGAACTTCATGAGCAAAATTACATTATTTTATAGTTTCTTAGTTTATGCTGATAATTATTGATGTAATGAGATTAATACACACACAAATTTATTTCTCCTTCCGTCTTAATTTCAGAGCTCCGTATGATGTATACTTCTACCAATACCCATCATTTTAACAGGTAAGCTAATTTCGTAGATAATCATAATAAATTTCTTTTTCATGATATTGATTTTTTTTTGCGACAAATGTAAAAGTAGTTAGAACATGCATACTAAATAAAAACCATAATTCAATGGAAATATCTTTCAATAATTTCAAACTTAACTGCAGTTTGCCAGAGCAAACGTGATTATCTGTTTAATTGTACCTGCCTAAAGCGTAAACATAAAGCATTAGACCAAGACTAAGGAACAATCTGCAGTTCTTGAATTATAGTCAATGCGTCAAGATGTTTTAGAAAAAGTTTCAGTTGGTGCGAGTAGAGACAATCGAGAAGAAAGTAACAGATATTATGAGTATTAGCAATATCAGTATAGAATTAGACGAAAGTATTAGTTTTACTTTATTCTTACAAAATACTCTTTTCAAGTCATCATGAGCAATTAAAGATGATATACGGAATAGCTAGAAAGATTAATTAGTATCGGCAAAGATTGCTCCGGTATAAAATCTGTTAACACTTAAACTACCACAACTTTTTTTTTATACCGATAAAAACAACAATAAAATCATTAAATTGAGGTTATCAGTAGTTTTAGTGTTAAGATTGATTGTTAAGTATTTTAAAGAAAATACGTGGTCTCCTATACATGTCAATTTGATGGGTGTCAATAAATGTAGGTAGGTATACAAAAATGTCCAAAAAACCTAGTGTTAAACTATTAATTTTCAAATAAAAATCAACTAAATGTTGCCTCAATTGCTATTTTCTAAAGATTTCCATTTCTAGAAGCAGCAACTGATTTTTAAAAACATAAGCAATATATGAAAACAACAATTCCATAATTATTTAAAATAATGGATTCTGAGACTAAGCATCACACAGATATTTTTTAAGATTAATCTTAAAAAGTGCAACTGAAGTAACTACACAATTTAAAAAATTGTTAAACATCTTTATAGCAATAATCAATAGACAATATATAAAAAATACCAACTCCTTTAAGTTTCAAGAAGTTTTTAGGTATAGAAAGAAATCAAAACATGAATTGTATTTTTAGGAAACTAATATTTTCCCTTAAATGTTAATCAAAAGCAAACACTTGATACATTTAAGAAAAGAATGATTACCTCTGGGTTTTTTGCAACAGTAAGAACAACAATAGCAGCTCCATAAGATGAGATGCCACATATAAAGAAGTCAGTGGTGAAAATGGATGCTGAAAAAAGTTATAAAATTAATTGAGTTCAAAAACATTTTTTTTTTTTTTTTTTTTTTTTTCAAATAAGAAATTCAGAATTTAAAAGCAAAAATAAAACATTTTGCTTTTTACAAGGTATTGCCAAATTCGACTAATTCAGATGGGTGAAATCAGGCATCAAGAGAATGGCAAATTACCACAGAACATAGGGCCACAAACCATGTTTAGTCCGTGAAAATCGCAAAAATACACATCCAGAGGACAGTAAGCTTGATGAAGACAGTGGCCAAACAAATGTGAGGATTATGAGCACTGCAGTCGAGAAGAAGAAACCTTCTCATAGGCCCAATGTGCATGCGGAAAATAAATGCAGCAAGTGAATATTCATTACTAGACATTGCAGAATTTGTGGGTGTTAAGCTTCATTTGGAAACAATATGTCAGATTATACAAATGAGGAATATATGAACATGCATCTGATTTTCAACCGAGCAGGAAACAATGGACGCCTAGTATAGAGTACGTACCAGAAGCAATAGCCGAGGAGGCATTGTCTACACCATACCACAACAACTTCAATAACCTCAGTGGACAATTCTGTCGCAGACCAATATACAAATTCTAAATATACCAATATACAAATTCTAAATACACCAATACATAAATTCTGATTATATAATCAAAACCAGCATTACAAAACACTGTCCTACAAAGTTGGCAAGTAATTTTTTGCCAGCCTAACTGGTGAAAAAACAATATCCATTTTAAAAAATGGCAGCACGCTGAAAACGACAGAAAACAGAAAGAAATTGACATAATAGAAAAGCAAGAAACATACATAACAAAACAGTAAAAGTTACGTAAAGGAAACATATACAATGAAACACTCAAAATTTCATGAAACAGTAAGGAAATACCCATCATAAAAAAACATGCAACTTTCTACTTTCTTGGACGTGTGCGTTGTAATCTGGTTTAACCTCGAAAAAACAGAGAATAGCAGAATTCTCGGCACTGCTCTCAATGTACACATCAACCGAATTTAACTTCAAAATCATTAGAGAATTGCACTCACTTATTTGGAGAAAACTTATGACAATCACCTAAGAAAAGTTCATAAACTACTACAAAGCTGAAAGATTTTTGTAATATAACATCAGAATAAACAAATGCTAGCAAAATGCATGCTTTTATATACATTTTATTACTTTAACAATAATAAAGGAAATTAATCTGGATAATATTTTACATTTAAACAGCCGGTGGATACTATTCAACTATCTTTTCAAAACAGTCTTTTTGCTTTATTTTCACACATTTTCTCCAAATGATTTCCTGAAGATGACTTGGACAATTTGATTACTTGTAAAATTCTTCTTGTTTGCTTGTATAATTCTTCAAACATAAATGTTAATTTATATATTTCTTTTATAAAAAAAAAAAAAAAAAAAAAAAAAAAGCCTTTTGTAAATGATGGAATCTTTCCAAAAGAATTTTTTTTCATTTAAAGAGCAAAAAATATTGCTAGTTACACACTTAAAACAGTTCTGAAAGCAATAAAATTTTTTGTTTTCATAACAAGACTATTTTTTTTTTAAAGTTTAATGACAGACACAAGTTTGAAAATAATCTCAACAAGGATTAAATATAGGATAAGAATTATTTCTTAGTATTTCTTGTACAGTGTGTTCCTTCGATTCAAGCAGATACTCATTAAAAAGCCATTTTTCTTTCATTAAGATGGAAATTTTATAATATGAACGATACCAAACATATTTTTATAGTATAGGGATAAATAGGCTATAACAATGAAAATATTGCATGCAATTAACACAATACAAAGAATTTTGAATAATGCAACTTTTGCTATACTACTAAAAATTTTACTTACTTATTTGAACATAAAAACGAGGAGGTCCAATCTGTTCCTTTAAATTTGTTAAACTTGTTGTTTTTGGAGATTCTGAGGGAATTACTTGACATACCTTAACAGTATTAGCCCAGCCAACAAGAAGAGTCCTATCATCTTTCCAAAATAGATTACATCGATACAAATCGCTACGCAACCTGTAATAAAACAGATATCACACTTATGAAAAGAGTTATTACCACAATTATAAAGGGGGGGAGGCAAATTAGGAGGATGCTAAATTCTGCATTTAAACTCGTAAAAATTCTTAATACATATATAAAAAATAACTCTATGCTTTTTATACTTGATAAAAAATAATTTTTTACTGTTTCACATATTTAACAGTTTACGTCTTGTTACAGGAGCAGATGATGTATCAGAAGCCTTAAAAATTTCAAGGGAAGCAAAGGAAATTATGTGTGGAGCTGGAATGAATCTACATAAATAAATGGGTGACGAATGATAATCATTTAGATAAAAAATGGGCAGAAGAAAATTTTGACAATCATCCGCTAAGCTCAAATGAAAAGATACTCAAAGTATTAGGAATTCAATGGGTGTTGGTGTATTTAATTATGGCAAAGCACACGAGGGCTATCTGCCTAAGGGGAGGGATGCCTTTCGTGGAGGACTTTCTAAGGGAAACTGGCTCGTATACACGTTACACATGGGGAAAACCACGAAAACGCCCATGCAGCCAGCCCGTTCGCGGGATTCAAACCTCGGACCAAACTATCAGTGTTCAGTGACTTTACCGCTCGGCCGCTGGTGGGCGGAATTCAATGGGACATTCAGGAAGATAGTTTGAGTATAAAGACTTCTTGAATGTGACTGAAATTTCAAGAAGAAAGAAAAGTACCAAACACTTCATCTTACAAACAGCTGGAAAAATATATGATCCTCAGACTCGTGACACCATTCACTGTTAGAATAAAACTTTTACTACAAAAGCTATGGCTACGTAAGCTACTATGGGATGCTGAGCTTCCTTCCGATTTGAATGATCAATTGTCTCAATGAGGCAGCGAGCTTTCAGAACTTGGTAACATTAGTATTCCAAGATTTGTTTTGGATTCAAGTGATGAAAATTTAGAGATCTATGTTTTTCCTGACGAAAAGTCATATGGTGCAGCCGTCTACGTAAAAGTACAGAATCGAGAAAAAATTTCTATGAATTTGCTGGCTTCCAAGAGCAGACTTTCACCTGTCAAAAAAGTTTCCTTGCCTCAACTGGAATTGCTGGGTGCACCGATTTCTCTAAGATTGGGAACGGAAGTTAAAAAAGTTCTGGATTGTAAAGGTTCATCTAATATCCTTTTTTGGAGTGATTCTAAAGTCACACTGTATTGGATTAAAGGATCCAGAAGAAAATGGAAGTCTTTCGTTCAAAATCGCGTTGATGAGATCCAGAAGTTGACTAATCCAGATTCATGGTTTTATTGTTCAACCAAGGACAATCCTACGGATCTTCTAACATGTGGAGTTAGTGCTACTTCTCTAGTGAACAATTCCAAGTGGTGGACTTGTACATAATTTTTGACTGAGCCACATCTTCCTTGCAAGTGCTTACAACCAATAGTTCCAGATGTTGAGCACCTAACACCAAGTGAAAGGGAATCCTCTGTAAAAGAAAGCAAAAGTTCTATTGACATTAATGACATTTCTGAGAGAACTATGTTGATTGACATGAACTCTTGAATATTAGTAACAATTATTATAAAATTATTAATGTTTTTTCTTATATTTTAGGTTTATTTGTAATTGCAAGAATGGATCGAAAAAGGTAGGCCCTCTTCAACTAGACGAGGTAAGAATAGCTGAGGAAACACTATCAGGTTCAATGTTCCGTCTTACTTTCTTTGGGAACATGCAAGGACCTGACTCGGAACAGAGAGCTTACTAAAGCTATGTTCAAAAACTGTGGGAAGTAGACAGGATACACAAGAAGGGTATACAAAACCCTTTATTTTTCTCTCTTTACAATAATTTCCATACTTCGGAATACAAAGACCCACTACTTGTGGTCTAAACGTAAGAATATAAAAATACAAACTAAACTCTAACTTAACTTTGAAATAATAAACGTGGAAGATTGGCCTTATATTAAGAGGAAGCCGTATGTAGTACAGAGAACTGTTAACACTACAATACGTTTAAAATTATCAAGAGGATTAAACCTCTGGCCTGGAAGGCAACCAGCAACTGAGTAAAGCTTCTAAGGTAAGCAGCCTGCTTCGACTAACTCCTTCCTCTCTCTCGCTTGGCAAAAACCACAACTTAAGTACTTGGCGTTTGCCAGACAAATTTTACATAAATAAGTTAACGCTTTTAATTCTGGCCGGAAGTAGAAAATAAGAAGTGATAGTAAAGATTTAAAATAAAATAAACGTTAGTAAAACTTAAGATCCTTACAACACTTATTAAGCATAAGCAGAGGGTTCTTTCTCTAAAAAAGACATAACAGGTAACTTAAAAAATTTGCATTCTTTTGTTGATTGTAAAAGAATAATTTGTATTGGTGGCAGTCTTGAAGAAGCTTCTTAACCATTTTGTCAGAAATATCCTGCGATCCTCCCAAAAAATTCTAAGTAAGATTTATTTTTCTAGCGTGCACAGAAGATTATTGCACATTGGCTTTTAAGGATTACTGAATGCAGTACATTTAAAATTTTGGCCATTAGGTGGTAGAGATTTGGCACGAAAAACAGTACATCTTTGTGTGACATGCTTTAAATGCAAATCGATTTTGTCTTCACAGATTATGGGTAATTTACCATACAAGAGAGTTAATAGATCACCCCCATTTAGTGTTTCAGGTTTGGATTTATGCAGTCTCTTTTATGTAACTTACAAGCATCAGAGAAAGGGCATGATAAATGAAATTTACATTTGTGTATGTATATGTTTTGTGACACGAGCTATTCATCTTGAGCCTTTGTCAGATTTGACTTCTAGTCTGACCACTCTTAAGCATTTCATGGCTACACGTAGCAAGTGTGTGAAAATATTCACTGATAATGCCTCTAATCTTGCAGGAGCAAATTCTCTGCTGACAAAATTTTACAAGGTAATTAATTTTCAAGACAAAACTTTGGCCTCATATTTTCCACGGGAAATGAAGAGACTGGAACTTTATTCTTCCCAAGTCCCCTCATTTTGGAGGGCTATGGGAAACTGGTGTAAAGTCTGCAAAGCATCAGTTAAAGAGAAGGATAGGTAATTTGCACTTTACGTATGAGGAATTTGAAACTATAATTGTGCAAGTAGAGGAAATACAAGATTCAAGACCTCTTACACCCATTTCCAATGATTCTGATTGTTATGAAGTTTTGATCCCAGATTATTACTGAATAGGGAGACTGATATACACGATTCCGGAGCCACTGATGATAGACATAAATGAAAATCGGTTAAGCCAGTGGCATAAAAGAACAAAGGTAGTTCAGATTATTTGGAAAAAATGGTCAAATGACTACTTAGGAACTCTGCAGCAGAGAACCAAATAGATGGTAGAGAAGGACACTATTTATGATGCTACTATGGTACTGGTACTACGGTACCTGCCAATTTGCAAACGGATTTTAGGTTGGGTTATTAAAGTCTATCATGGATATCACAATAAAGTAAAAACTATCAAAATCAGGAGAATTAAAGAGAGTGATCAAAAAGATCGCCGTGCTTCCTACTGAAAAATGATATTTTGCATATGTAAAAGAAAAATTGCATTTTGTTCTAGCATTGTAATAGCTGTAGTTATAGTATTATGTTGTTTATAAGTATATTAATTTTGCTTTAAGAATGTTTGCATAATTTCTTGAAATTTTGTAATTTTAATCTGGGGGAGAGTTAAATCCCTTTGAAGCCAGATGGTGCTGCCATAAAAGTAATAACATTCTGTTTACAAAATAATGTTATTACTTTTTTTGGATTGCTTCAATGGCGAAGCAGAGTGAGTGTAGTTGCCTGACTGTCTTCCACAAATGAGTAAAATAAAGATAATGAGATAGTATAGCGTGTTAATTAGTTTAATTGAGAGCTACAGTCCATTCTGATTTAGCCAGACCAAATTTTCTAATAATAATATTAACAATAACAATAATAATAATAATATTTTCAGTACTTTCTGCTTATTTGCAAACCTTTTTGAAAAGTCACCAACCATTGGCAACTAATTTTTGCCAAGCTCAGAAGTAAGAGACAACAACCAATTAAAAAAAAAAAAAAAAAAAAAAAAAAAAAAAAAAAAAAAAAAAAAAAAAAACTGAAGGGTTTCAGATTTCAAATTATGTCCAAAGGGGACTTTTTTTAACGTTTTCTGTGTTACCATTATTTATTAAATATTATGTTCTTTGCACTTAAACCATAAAATTCCGTTCAGTAGCAATGTCGCAAAATAATTTTAAAATGAGCATATCTTTAGAATTTCTGATACACAGTTCCGCGCCCGCTGGAGATAAAAAGTTTTTTTTTTTTCCACCGAAGAGTGTTGCCATTGCTCGCTTTTAAATCATAGAGTTTTACTCAAAAATTCATTAAAGTTTTACAAAATATGAAATCGATAATAAAACAAATTTCAAATTTGGTCTTCCCCATGTCCATATTCGTACGAGGATTACGTCAATTCAAAATTTGATGACTCTATGTACCATTGTTTTATCACAATGCGAGAATTTATGCAGATTTTTCATTATTTAATTTCTTCAAATACAATGCAAGACTCTAACATTTGGTGGCAACAGTTTGAAAAGTACCACGGACATTTATAGTGATTCAGCGCAAAATCACAGAACAAATACAACAGTCCTTCAGGGACAAAACCCCTTTGGACTAATAAAACATTAACTGTCTCTTTACACTAGTCTTCTTATGTAAACAGTCATCTGTTTTCCCTTAAAAAATACCAGAGAATTGCAGAAACTCACTATCATGCACAACTTGGCAGTGCACACACTGTTGTCTCCATGTACAGAGTGATGTTTTTGCTTGAAAAAATTTAGAGAATTACATAAATTTTGCATTGCGCACGCTGATGTTTAGAGTGTTCTGTTTCTGCTTAAAATAATCACAGAACTGGATGAATTCAGTATCACTACAAAAATTCTAATCCAAAAAATTTCAATCATTTACTAAGTACAACTTAATGGAATGTGAATTTTTGCATTCTATACTGTTCAGCAAAATGCCATATTTCTGAAAATATTATGAAAATTCTTTTTCATCAGCTGGAAAATTCTACAATCCTACTATGAATCCTTACATGGGTAAAAAAATGCACTCAATGCAACAAAAACACATATTCACTGCTACTTGTCTGCTGCCTTGCATGCACATATTTAGGTTGCCACATAAATGCATTTTGGTGACGTCATGTGTTGGCCCACTTTGGGGACACAGCACGTCTCATGAATACTTTTAAAGGGAGTATGGATCATTAGAGAGTAATAAATTTTCTTTTTCTCTTAAGTAAAAAAAAAAAAAAAAAAAAAAAAAAAAAAAGCTTAACAATTATAAGCAAAAGATTCCTTTTATATAACATAAAACTACATACAGACTTCTTTTGAAATTATGAACTACATTCTATCTGACCAGTAAATTAAGAATTGTAATATTTCATCTCTAATTTTTACAAAATTCTAAAATTTAATTTTTTAAAAATTTGAACTGGATCTATTTGGCACAATATATACTTTTATTTCTATTACTAAACTAATATATACACAAACAAAAATTTATGCTTACGAAGGATCATGATCCTTTTGAATCATAGTCACAGTTCTATTAGCAATCATATCGTATACTCGTACAGTCTGTGTGGAAAATAAAAAATTAGTAATTTATTAGAAAATTGCATTATAATTTTAATATAAATTTTAACAGAACAGTACCTTATCACTGGCCCATACAACAAATCTCTCTCTCCATTTTATATTCCTTATAGCTCCTTCACCTTGATACAAAATGCTAGGTTTATAACCAGTTAAAATATGACGTTCATATAAAAGAACCTACAAGAGAAGGGAAAAAAAAAAAAAAAGAAAGGAAGAAATTGGAAAATCCTTTATAGAAACTGAAATTCAATTTAAGAATTTTAGATGTCATTTCTTAGAGGAAATACAATGATAATGTACTTTGAAATGCCTTTAAAAGCCTATAACATATATAAATCTATTTTCATCTGTTGTTATTTGGAGAAGAAAAATCTTTTATCATACTAAATTCCAAGTATCTTTCAAAAAGCAAGCTCATAAAAGGCAGAAATCATGCAGGCATATGCCCATGATTAAATGGGATAACTACATACTGAATTTGACTTTTATTTCCCCACATCAAGAAATAATCAAACAGACTTTTCTATAGTTATTGAACTACTCAGACATTTATAAAAGTTTCAATGCTTCTACAGCATGGTTACATTATAAACATATTACATATAAATTTCATATAAAATTAATACATTTTAATCATATTTTTAATTATATTCAGTGATGGCCAAAATTCTGGACACTTTTGGAAATTTTTATGTTTTTGAACTATGCTTATAGAAAATATTACGTTTCGAAAAATGCAAACTTGTATATATCATTTCAAAGAGAATTTATTACTGAATTCAATACAAAACACAAAATTTAATTATTTGCAATACAAAAAAAAAAAAAAGTTATATGTACTTTAACTGTTTAAAATCCAGACCCTTCGCTAAGCTGTATCCTCAAAATACCCGAACCGCCTGAAATACTTTTCCAGTTTCACAGCAATTTCCTCCCCTCCCCGTCCATTAACGCAGAAAATAGGTGTGAAAATGTCCAATGACATCCTTTGTACTTTCTAACAAAGATTCCTTGACCCCTTTCTTTATAAAAGTATTCTGAAGGTCAGATCAACAAGCCTTTCCAGATTTGTTATGATAATGACTGAGACTTTTTTTTCAGTTATTTTTATAGGAAGAAATAAATTGTTTAAAAATAAATATAATCCTTAAATTTTTTAACTGCTTTTTTTTTGCTGTTTAAAGCTTATAAGCACACTGTACCACAAAAGAATCAATAACGAAATGTCACGATCAACCAAAAGATAACCAAAAAATTTCTTAGGACAAGCTGTCTGCAGTAAACTGATACAATGCATTTGGGGAACGTGCACCTGCTACTACATACCTTAGGGGAGGGAAGAAAATTACAAATTTTTGGGCAGTTCTGGTAGTTTCAATGTAGGGCCATGTCGGGCGGATTGGATGTGAAGGAGTTAATATAAATAAAAAACACAGTCATGAAGTGATTTGTAATGTCTAGCTTTCCTGGCCAATCACTGTTCTTGTTCTGAGAACCAATCAAATGTTAGTAACTGCCAGTAGAAGCTGACACCATGTTTACACTTGAAACAATTCATTATTTTGCTTTGTTCTGTAGAAGGAAGACCTATTTCTTATACACTGCAATTACAAGTAGGAATTTTTGTAAAAATTTTTAATATTTAGTCAAGAAACAATGACATCAAATAAAAGCGTAGATTGGACACCTAGAAAGAGATATAATATTATTGTGTTACGAGAAAGTGGTCTTTGCTATGCAGAAATTGCAAGACAGGTGGGTGGTTCAGTGACTACATCTGGAGTCCGAAAGTTTTGTTTACGATATCAGAAGACAAATTCAATAAAAAACAAAGAAGTAAAAGGCCGGAAAAGGTGCACCACATCTATTGATGACAGAAGAATAAAAAGACTATGTCTCCAAGATAGAAAAATGTCATCAGCGGCCATCAGAAGTGATCTGAATGATGCTGGTGTTTCTGTCAGTTCAAGAACAATCAGGAGAAGATTAACAGATGTTGGACTGAGAGGTAGAATTCCACGAAAAAAGCCTTATTTTAATCTTCAGCAACGAAAAAAAGACTACAGTGGGCAAAGGAACACATTAATTGGACAGATGATCAGTGGTCACAAGTTATATGGAGTGATGGAACTAAGATATCGTTATTCGGTAGTGATGGGCGAAAATATGTAAGACGTAGAATAGGAGAAGAGCTACACCCTGACTGCATTCAAGCAACTGTGAAGAACCCAGTTAGTGTTATGATTTGGTCATGCATGTCAGCAGATGGTATTGGTCGCCTTCATGTCATCGATGGGACACTGAATGCCAGAAAATACATTGACACTATTCTAGAACCAAAACTTCTACCTTTCATCAGAGATCTCTTTCCCAACAATGTTTCGTTTATATTTCAGCAGGATCCTGATCTTTACCACACGGCCAAAATATCAAAAGAGTGGTTTCGTACAAAGAGCATTAAATTGTTGTCATGGCCAGGAAACAGTCCTGACCTCAATTCTATCGAAAATTTGTTGCACCGTTTGAAAACTCTTGTCCGAATGAGGCGCCCATCAAATAAAAGGGGACTAATTGAGGCTATAATTGTTTCCTGGCATCATGTAATAACGAAAGAAGAGCTTAAAACTCTTGTCAGCTCAATGAAACGTCGATGTGAAGCTGTTATAAAAAATTATCTACTAAGTACTGATAACTCACTGAAATCATCACTATCTAATGTATATCGATAACTATTATCGTTTAACTTTTTTTGTATTGCAAATAATTGAATTTTATGTTTTGTATTGAATTCAGTAATAAATTCTCTTTAAAATGATATATACAAGTTTGCATTTTGTGAAACGTAACATTTTCTATAAGCATATGAAGTTCAAAAACATAAAAATTTCCAAAAGTGTCCACAATTTTGGCCACCACTATATATATATATGATAAATATATATACAGTGGTGGCCAAAATTGTGTATACTATAAATGAAAGATTATGAAATGGAGTAACATCATTTACTATCAAAAATCTTAATACAACTTTTATTTGCAGGTGCTAAAAATATAGTTTACACACATTTGTTTACATTAAAAAAAAAAAGAGAGAGAGAGAGAGAGAAATTGAATACTAACACTATTTTTCAAATACACCTAAAAACTGTTTATTTACAAGCAGGAAACTGAAATAAATAATTCTAAATAATCTGGGTAACCTGTTAAATAAGTATGTTACAGATTTTATCATAAGAATCCAATATAAAATAAAATGAACTCTTAAAAAAATAAATAAATAAAATAAAAATTAAAGATTACCTTATCTTCACCTACAATAAACCTCCTATTAGCACTTGATTTGGAAAAATTTGGATCTAAGGCAACAGATCGAACAGGCCTCTCAATCGTTATTGAAGTATTGAGATCACAACTGTACAGTCCATGAATAGCAACCTTTTAAAAATTAATAAAAAAGGTAATTAAAAATGAGTCACATATAAAGTAGAAAATACATAATTTTCTTTAAAATTTCAAAGTACCTTTCCATCATTAGAACATGATGCCAAATAATCTCCTTTCTCATCAATACTTATTTGATTTACAGTGGTGACATGCTGTTAAAAAAAAATTATTAATGCACGAGTAACTATAATCTCACTTCTTCTAAGTTTTACAGTTTCAAATTTTATCTCACCAAAATCAAAATATAAAATATTCAAAATCTGTTTAGTTTTCAGTAAAATATGCATTGTTAAATTAGATTTAGCCATTTTAAAAACATCTATCACCAAATTAAATTTAACAATTTCTGGTACTTTTCCATTTCGCCAGCGCAAATCTCGCCAAGCAGACTTTATTGGCGACAACATACAATATGCACATAAAAAATGTTAACAAATGTTAGTTCTAAGAATTTTTTATTTTGAAGGCATAAACAATAGCATTTAAAATTTTTTAAAAAGCCAATTTCATGATACAACATCCTGAGTCGTCGGTTTGTATCACGTGACCCCAAGTGATCTCATCCCACGTAAACTACGCTACAAAAATCTAATTCTCTCAGTTATTATTTACATTAATCTTAGTTAAATCTTAGTTTGGAATACAAGTTTAAATGCATGAATTATTTCAATTTGTACGAATAGCTTACTCAGAAATTATGTAAAACTGCAGTGCTTTACTTCTTCAGTGCATTCTCATTAGAATTGATGAATTTAACCCTTGACTTTGTCTTTTCTATATTTTCGCCTTCGGGTGAGCAGTGTGATTTCATCCTAACTGAATTACTGCGAATGGCCTTAGAGCATAAAATTGAACTATCTGGTAAAAATTCTATGTAATTGTATGTCAGTATTGAAAGAGGCCATCAATCTGATAAGAAATGGCAGAGACTTGTTTTGAAAATGAGGTGTAAAAGGTTACCAGCGAGGATATTCTGTTTGGCACCAGACCACTTGTACCATTATTGGTGACTTTATCACCAGCGCCGGCAAAATGGAAAAATAGCCAATTAAACAGGGAACCCTGAGAATGATGTCACAACTAAACCAAAATGATGGTTAAATCAAAGATTGTTTGAAAAACACATGAAAGAGGAAGATTCTTTTACAACTAAAAGAAAAATACTATAAACAATTTATCTGTATATTCAAGTAATTAAATATAAAGAATAAGTTTATTTGGTAACCTAAATTAGTATTTAAAAAAAAACTTACTTCAAAATAAAAAGAACGATGATACTCTTCTGTTATGGGGATCGGATTCAGTATATGTGGATACATACATTTACTTACCTGCATATATACATACCTACATATGTACATATATTAATGCACACATACATATACATTTCTGAATCCAGTCCGAATTATACAGAAGTACCAAACAATATTTTTGCTTCATTTCAAAAGAAGTCAATGTGAAATAGAAGATACTGTTTCACATTGACACAGTACTCAGTTTATTTTTATGATTGAGCAATTTATATTCAATGCATAATTTAACAATGCTTATGTAGTCCCAATTACATATAAAAAACTTAATGCATTATTATATACAATTATCGACAAAGACATTCAAATACACCAGCTGCTGTTATACAATAGCTTTTTCTCTTCATTTTTGTATTTTTTGTAGACAGTTTTATTTTAGCAGTACAAAGTCCGAGACCAGGATTCATCAAGCCTTCACCGATTTTGGAATTTTCCAGACTTTAGATAATCAATTTAAATCTAGTAAGATAGTATGTAAAAATTAAATTAAAAATATAAATGGTTGTTTAGGAAATAATAAAATGTTCATCACCTGAAGAAAAACAAAATGTAACAGAAAAAGCTCAAGAAGCTTTCTTGTTTTATTAAACAAAGTTTATTTGCTTTATTAATATTTTGTTCATAAGTTGCTTTTTTGTGTGTGTGCATGTGTGTGCGAGTAAGTTAACACTTTTGCGGTAATATTACAGCCACAATTTCTTGTTACTATTGTTCAAGACCTGTACCTGTCATATTGAGAATTCCCATTAAATTGCCAATCAAAACTTTTTTATTCTCAACAACCTATCTTATCTGTCACTTTCTTTAATATTGGCAGTGATATTGTCTGGATTTAGAATTATACTACAGATTTTAACATCTGTTAGTTGACTGACGACTAGAGCATTATCATTGTAATGGAAAACTTTTATTATATAATCTTCACTTATTATAACTTCTTCACAAATTCTCTTAATTAGAAATACCAGGCCTAAAATTCATCAGAGGCTTAATACACCATATATTTCCATGTACAAAAGGACAATTTTTCGAATTTTTTCTAAACCTAAATTATGGGAGTTGGCTTATATATGGATCTGCTTATCTGACAAAAAATGTACTCACTTTTCTGTTTGTCAGGTGCAAGCAATAAATCACTAAATATAGCACTTTTTTATTTCTTAAGTTTATGAAAAAAATTAAATTTAAATTTAATGTCTTATTTGTTTTGTGAAAATGAATTATTTTATTATCAAAATTGTTTATTTTGCTGATCCGTTGCATTGTCGTCAAAACAAAAAATCTAACAATGGTGAAATTTGTGCCCAGCTAATAGAAAACAAGCATGTGCTACAATTTTGGATTTTGGCATTCCTGCTAATTCAAGACACTTTTTCTCCATTCTTGAACTTGTTTTTTAGTTAGGAGAAATGCCATGCAGCCATACCATTGTAAGAATTTTCAGAAAATGTGATCATCTATAGTTTGACATTTTCTGTATAAGAATTTCTCTTCCTACTCATCCTCCAGACAAAAAATAAAATGGAAAAGCTACTGCCATACTAAACGAAACAAAGAAGTGAAGAAAATATGCTAGCTTCAGATAGGATTACTAGAATTAAAACTATCAAAACTGGCATTTTACTTTACAGTGATTTGATTGGATAATATTCCATCCTTTTTACCTGCTTGGCAACACTTTCAGCCTAATTGTGATGTGCTTAATATTTAAGGGATTTTTCCTTTCCATTTTGGGTTATATACGAATTTTGAAATTTGGAAACATTTTTGAATAAAAAACATATTCTTGGCTTACACATAGAAATGTATGGTACTTTAGTTATTTACTATACTTACGTCTGTTTCTCGCATATCAATAGTTAATACTATTCCGCATATGCTTAAAGCTTATCTGAGCCTTGAAAAAAAAATTCCCATGTATACTTAAGGCTTATTAAGACAATAAATCAGTTATTCTGCATTCAAGCACTAATAAATTTTATCTTTTTGCCTTTGAATATGATTTACAAAACTCTTTTTTACACATGGAAAGAAATTATAATTAAATTTCTTTTTAGCAAACGACTCCACTTTGTAAAGCAGTTGGATGAAATCTGTAATTGTTGCCAAGTAAAATGTTAATATTGTTACATTTTTTTCTTTTCTTCTGACACCAGTTGTTACGTTATTTTCTTCCTTCACGTTCATAAATGGTTCGTGAGGATTTGGAGTGAATAACGACGACACTTGATGAAGTATCAAAACACACACTTTATTTAGCAGTATTGTCAGGACAGCTCCAAAACACGTTTTGCAGTCGTCGATGAACTACTAGAAAAACGCTGACACGATCAGCGACACAACTTTCAGGTTATCAAGCTATCACGAGGTGGAGAGAGCTTCAGGGGAAAGCACTAGAGTACAGCTCTCGACTCTGCTTGGTCATTCTTGGAACTCCACGTACGCTTGAGACTCTCCACGCTACAACTCGCGATGCTCTCGACAACACACGAGCACAGCTCCCGACAATGCACTAACCGTGATACACTAACACTCCGGTGCAATCAACGACTCACTCGGCACTCGCTGCCCGGCTGTCAACTCAATCGACTTCGCACGGACTGACTTGCTAGACGAGACAAACTCTCAATACTACAGACTGACTGTAGACCAGCAGGGTTTATATAGCTTTCAGCTTATGTTCGAGAACATTCTGGGCTAAATCGATAAAAATTTGTTCCAGAAGGTTCTCCATCCACCAAGGTATATCACCAATTTTGTTGCCGGATGGGCAATTTCTCGCCAAATGTGGCAACCCTGCCTTCCCTTGGCTTTTTATGGCAACCCTAAAACTGCTTTGCGGGGTAAGCCATCTTACCATGCCTTGACATTTTGTAACACTGCCCCCTCCCGAGGACTGCACATCACGGGCAGTACAACCCTTGGTCAGAAGCCAAATTCGATACAAACAAAACATAATAAAACAAACAAGTAACATAACTAAAGAAAGAAATATTTACACTATTTACAAGTTAGATACACAAATTAAACATATCACAATTTTAAAAGAAACAAATATTTACACTATGTTCAAGTTATATACACAAATTAAACACATCACAATTTTAAATTATACAAATTAAAGTTAAGAATGAATTTCAGTCTCAGTCTTTTCATTAAAATATACCCGGGTCAAATACTTTTTTATACTACAGTTCTCAGATGCATTTCTGTTTTACATATCACAATCTGAAGACATAGTCCTTTCAGACTTGTCACCCACAGGAAGATGTGAAACAGTTTGTTCACCACTCTGTAGTTCATTTGCAGCATGCATACAGTTCACATCGGTATTTTTTTTTACAGCAGATGCTACATGCTTATTTACCTCTATTTCCTGAAATTCAGTTCCAATGTTTGCGCCAGGGTCGTGAACAGAATCTGATCCTTTACAAGCAGAAGTATCCAAGTTTAGAATCAAGCCCTTGTCTGCAAAATCTGCACTATTACACACACACACAGTTCGTGAGGTAAGTGAATTTTCTTGCAATACTGGAGCACACTGCTTCAGCTGTACATCAGCTTCTTCATTCTCAGCATCACACGAACTTTTCAGACAGTTCAACACTTGCTGACTATGTTTTCATTACTTTGCTATTAGTTTCCAAGAACGTAACAGTCGCATTTTCACTTTCTTCCACTTCAGGCACTTGAAAAATCAAAGGTTTCTTTCCCGTTTTTCATTTCTTCATCTTTTTTATCTCTGTCTTTAATCACGTTAGATATTTCATCTTTCATTTATGGATCTTCCTCAGATAGTTCATTAGCTACTTCCTTCCCTTCTTTCATTTCTTCATCCTTTG